TGTACAAAGTTTGTCTTGAGCCTATACCTTACTTGTTGCTGATTATACTCCACCATAAATCATGGGAAGTATCTCATCTATACCAGCAACTTTGGTACTTCATCTTAGGACTATGGAGTACTTGACATAGTTTGATCTTTGTAATCCAACCAAACCATAACATGTTGTCTTGCAAACCTAGTCAGCTCATATGCATAAACCTCCTGCCTATAAATAGAAGAAGCATTTGCAAGACAGAGGGGGTTAGGAAAAATAGAGAGAAAAGTAAGAAGTTCTCTTGTGTAGAAGCCCTCAAAAATCCCTGCACTCTAAAAAAAATAGAATTGTCCACAAAACCCCCATTATTGAGCTTTGAAGTCCAAATCCTTGAACCTCTCACTCCTTGCAAGTTTTGTCCAAACAAACCATCTAAACACTCCAAATACATCATATAGAAGTTGTTCAAACACAAGAAAAACTTCTATAACATCACTATCATCACTTCTCAAGCTCAACAATAGCCCATACAACAGCTCAAACTCAAAGCACAAATTTCAGTTTCAAGGTAAGTTTTCTTGACTTTGAACTCTTCATATAAGCATCATTAATTGTTCATTTGTGAAGATAGAATATAGATATCATTGCCTTGAAGCTAACCATATGCTTGCTTTTCATTTTCACTAACCATGTGTTGAGAATTGACTTTTACATGTAGCAAAACAGTGATAAAAATAAAAAACAGCAGTTATGCATCGACACGAAATGCTATGAGTCGACACATATTATGTCCAAAACAGTTTCTGAGCTGATGCAAACCATTATGCGTCGATATGAAATGTTGCATGAGTCAATACGAAATGCGAATGCGTCGACTCATACTGGGTTAATTTTAATTTTCCAACAGCAAGGAAGTTTTCGTATCAATACATAATGACATGTGTCAATACATAAATTGTTTTCGTATCAATACATAATGGCATGCGTCAATATATAAATTGTTTTCGTATCAATACATAATGACACGCGTCAATACATAAATTTTTCGTATCAATACATAAGTGTATGTGTCAATACATAAAAAAAATTTCAAAATAATTTTCTTATTTATTTATTTATTCTTGTACATTATTTATTCATTCAATATGGTTGTAATAGTAAATTAGGATTTATTTGCTTTCATCCCCCCATTTGTAAATTTGTATCCCCATCCTCCAAATGATGTAATAACGTAGGATTTTAATTTCCGCAACTTATCGCTTTAATATAATTGTTAGTAATTAGGGTGTGTATGGAAAGATAAAATCAAAAAGTAGAAAACCCTAATACAAGACAAAACAAGCATGAAAATCAATATACTTGCACACAAGCACCCCTAGGGTAAAATCCACTTGGTTGCCTTATAAATGGCCATATTACGCATGTGAGGTATCTTAGCAAAAACAAGCAAAAATACAAGATCATAGTCCCTCGATGACGCTATCTAAGTTGCCTTTCAAAATGATCTTAGTCCCTAAATAAAAATGCTAAGATACCTTGCAACATTGCTAATCATGGTTATACGATGACCCACGCCCGTCCCGTTTACATCCAAAGTTAGGGTTATTTACCAAATCAATGGTGAGATAACAATGTCAAAGGAAAAAGGAAATGAACATGAAAGACTTTTGAGTAGGTAGATTGTTCCTAGTTACTTGCTCTATTTCAAAACAAAAACATCCTTGCTATTTTCAAAACAAACACCAACACTTTCAAAAACATCTTTCAAACTTGAAAGCATTTTCAAAAGATCAAACACTTTGTATACATTCTTACGAACGAGAATCGTTACAAAGCTTACCCAAACGATGTCGCCTTTTCAAAATACTTTCAAAAACCACACAAAGCACATTTTCAAACAAAAGCAAGTGATCTAGCAAGTAACTAAGAGTCCATGGAAAACCATGGATGAAAAGGGCGCTAATACATTCCCTTTTCATAATTTACCCCCTGAACTCAAGAAACAATCTTAAAGGTCTTTCATGTGCTTTTTCACCTTTCCTTTTAGATAAAAGAAAAGTCGGTGGCGACTCTTGCTAACCGCAACATTTGCGATCAAACACAAAACACCCAAGTCAGTTCTTCCACCGTATCACACTTGCACTAATAATTGCTTACTGTCCAGCAACATTACATTTTTTATTTACTGCAAAAATCAATCTTTTAAATAAATGTTTTAATTACAGCAACAAAGTTTTTTTTATATTAGGCCTGAATGGCCTTTTCCCAAAACAAACAAAATTAACAATCAAATCCTACCAAAAACATTTAGTTTTTTCTTCACAATATATATTATTTATTAACAGTTTTTTTTTCTTTTTAAATAACAATACTTTTTTTTCAACACATCAAATGGGCCAACCCAATAGACTTAGTTATTGATCAATACTCCCCTCTTTTTACTAATGACAACATTTAAATGGGCTAAGTTATTCAGAAATTACACCCCCTTTTCTGCTGTTTGGATAACAAATTAGAAATGGGCTGACTAAATAAATTGCAACCACACCTCTTTTTTTACTAACAACCAAATAACACCTAAATGTCTTTAATAAATTATTAATTAAAAGCACTTTAAACTTAAGTTGTCTTAATAATTTAATAACTTAGTAATTACTAGTTTTGAAACAATTTTCCATTTCCGAATCGCATGGGCCATAGGCCAACATGCTTCGCGAATGAGTTTACGGACATACGAGTCTTTCTGATTTATAAAGCCCTGCCCATCTGAATTTAAAGTATGTCCCCTAGTCAGATAAAGATGGACCATCAGATACTGCTGTACCATCTTTAATTGAATATTTCTTTAATTTTAATCTCGAAAAATAAAATTATTGAGGTAGGACAAATTTGGGGTACAACAAGTGTTGCCATGGCCGGGTCGATGTTGATAGGGATGGGAACTGGTTGCATGATTTCTGGCAGTTCCTCGATGGAATTCTTGGGACGTCCCTTGTCCAAGAATTGGTCGTCATCGCGTCGGGCGTCCGTTGAATCTAGAGATGCGGTATGTCCGTCTCAGAAACCCAAGTTGTCCTCGAGGTGAGGATGTTCCTGACTTCCGTCGGTTTTGTGAGCAGGGGAAAGAATAGTCTTTCCAGGCATATGAAGATCATCATGGTCGGCCATGATTAGTGAGAGGAATCTTGAAAAGTTGCTTTTATCTTTAAGTATCCAGGAGAGAAAGACGGGGAGAGCAGTCTCCCACAGACGACGCCACTGATCTTACCGATTGATAAGAACCTGTGAAGTGGCCGGAAGATGATTTGTAGTCGGGCTGTAATGTCGAGGAGGAAAAAGGGGATTGTACCTGTAAGGCACTCTGACAATCAAGTAAGAGTGGGAACAAGGAGATACAAGCAAAGTATTAGGTGGTGAATAGTGAATATTCGATATCTGGTCCTCACAGGCGTGAGGGTTTATATAATGCCCCTGACGCATGGCAATTGGTTCCTGATTTCACGCCTGGATATGCAGGTTCGTGAAATCAGGTAACTACTCGGGCTTGATCAAACCGGGAAAATGTGCCTGTAACTAGCCGTTGATTCTGAGTAGGGGGCAGTTATGAGCATCTTTCTGGTCGGTTTCTGGTGGCCTGCACGACGTTGATGTCGGGCAGGCTGAGAGGATGATCATCGATCACCCTAGGCCAATGCTGATTTAGGAGGGCGAATGGTCGATATCGCCCGATGGATAGCGGGTGGTTCGGGTCACAGACGTGTGAGCCGTACCAAAGGAAAGGTCTAGAATGAGCCCATTCAAGCTGTCGGGCCAGTCCAGAACAAATCCTCCACACTTATTTCTTATTAAATTGATGAGAGTTGTTCGAACATATTTCCTTCTCCAATTCCTCCACAAAGCCAACAAAGTGTCATTGAATCTTTCCCAATTTAACTCAAGTTCCTCTTCCATAATTTCCTTAAAGAAATGAATGGTTGATCTTTCCATGCATAATTGTGCCAAACTTACCTTCATTTTTGGGTTGGTGTCCAGAATTCAAAAGTAAACTTTTGTGCGAGTGAACCACCCGACATGATCTCCACCAACAAAGGATGAAAGTTCTACCTTATTCATAAAATGACGAAATTCATCGAGCGTTTCTCCATAGAAATTAGAACTCATTTTTTTGACGATCATGTTTTCACAATCGTCTTTTTTGGTATTACCTTTTGCTTGACTCTCAGAGATGAGTATGATTAATCACTCTTGGTCTTTAACGATTTAGAGTCGCATCTCTGCTAGTGTGTTCTTGAGGGGTACAACTTATGTTTCTAACTCGTTTATCCCTGTCTCCATCTTATTTGGTGGCATTCATATTTTTCTTTTCTTTTCTATTACTAGTTTCTGGTGACTCTCTCACTTTCTTCAACTAATTCAGTAGGTTGTACCAATTAACAAGAGTGCAAGACTTATATTATATATAAATACACAATAATGAAATACAAACGACCTATAACACAATGCTCATTCAGAGTGTCATATTTGCTCTCCGCTCCCACTAAAAGAAAAATACAGAATGACTGACCCCTATTACAATAATTAACTGCGGCCAACTAACTATTTTCCACCTATTACAATAATTAACTATTGTTAACTACTTTCTTATTCCTCCTTTCATACACTTTGTCCTTAAGTAATTCATTAATAACTTTCGTGTAACACTATAAGTATATTTCAATTAAATTTTTTTTATAAATATTTTTTAAATTTATTTTTATAAATTAAATAACTTACAACATATATAAAAATAATTTAAATTTATTTTTTATTATAAAACAGCTTATTCAAATTTTTTTGTTGATAAATGTTATGCTAGAAGCAAGCCTTTAGTTTTCATCTAACCATGGACCTAATTAAAAAAATAAATAAAAAGAGAATAAAGGGAAGGAGGTTGAAGAAGTAAAGGTTTAGTTATAAGAGTGTAAGCTGAGTTTTCCTTCTAAGCTCTGCGCGTTTGATCCTTTCTTTCTCTCTCAAACAAACAAATGGACATTGATTTCAAAGAGTATCAGTTACGCTGTGAACTTCACGGCCACGAAGACGACGTAAGATTTCTCCTTATCCTTCAATTTCTTTCATAATTCCTTTGACGATTCCGTTAACCCCTTCACAACCACCAGGTTCGTGGAATAACCATCTGCGGCAACGGCGACATAGCGACCTCATCCAGGGACAAAACCGTTAGGTTATGGTCTCAGGACGATCGCAAATTCACCTCTTCCAAACTTCTGGTAGGTCACACCAGCTTTGTCGGTCCGTTAACATGGATTCCGCCGAATTCCGACTTGCCTCACGGCGGTGTCGCTTCTGGCGGCATGGATACTCTTGTCTTGGTTTGGGACTTGAACACGGGGGGTAAGTTTCATACACTCAAAGGTCACCAGTATCAGGTCACCGGCATTGCGTTTGATGATGGAGATCTTGTTTCATCTTCCATTGATTGGTAGGGTTTTCAATTCCAGTTTATTTATACTGAATTTGACTGGTTAGGTTTTTCCATTTATTTCATTGGAGTAATTGTATTCTGTTGATACTCATCAATCAATCTATTTGTTTCTGTTTTCTCTTATTGTTTTTTTACTTTCAACTTGCTACATGAATTTCTTGTGCAGTACTTTGAAACGGTGGAGGAATGGGCAATGCGTTGAGACATGGGAGCCTCACAAGTCAGCGATTCAAGCTGTTATAAAGCTACCCACAGGAGAGCTTGTTACAGGTATAGTTACTTGTTCACACATTTTTTTGCAGACAACTTTTCATTATTTTTCTTCTTAATAGAAACTCCTCTCAAAATAGGGGAACTTAATAATGGTACTAAAGTAAGATTTTAGAGGGTTTATATAAATTCTTTGAATTCAACCGATGTAGTTATAATACTCTCAAACTTAATAATATATAAAGCATGAGCATTCATTTATTATTTTCTCCCTAAACATTCTCTAAAAAAAAAGTGAAAGATATTCCTATTTTTCTCTCATCTCCCCTCCTCCTCCAAACTCACAAACAGAGTCTAAACATACATTTGTTTTTGAAGGGGATTTAAGAGGGTTTTAGAGGGTTAGGTCTATATTTTAAAAAAATTGATAGAATACCATGATATATGATCATATAACAATTCAATCACACCTCATTCATTTTTAGAAACATTTTATAGCTTGTTTAATTTAGAAAAGAAAAACAAGCCCTCCCCCTACTAAACAGACCCTCAGGCTTTGTTTGGGAGTCTGGAGAGGAAGGGAGGGGTTGAAAAAAAATGGAAGAATAGAGGAAAGGGAATCGAATGATTTAGGTGGAAGGAATTTCAAAAGAATTATTTTTATTCATAATACACCATCTTTCTAGTTTGGGGGAACTCAAAATTTGTATTGAATGAGGGTTTTGGAGGGCTTATATAAATTCTGGAAATATATTTTATGTTGTTATGATATTCCATAAATAAAAAATATATTAGTGATAAAATTCATTTACCATTCTAAACAAAAGTACAGTTTACAAAATTGTTAAAAGATTTCTTCATTTTTTTCTTCAAATCCATTTATTAGTGCACAACATTTATTCTTGTAAATGATATTGAAATGGTATTGGACGTAAGTGAATTTCTTAACTTATCTTCTATCATTCTAGGTTCAACTGACACTACTTTAAAGACTTGGAAGGGAAAAACTTGTTTACATACTTTTGAAGGGCATTCAGGTTTGCTTTCCCATCTTTAGACACCCATTTTAATTTTTGATTTTGTCATCGATTTATAATGGTTACTTTATGTTTTTTTGGTTTATTTCCCTCATACTTTGATTGGTGAGGAATGACTTAGTGTTGAAGTTCAATATATTTGCTCCGCATATTTGTGATTGATTTTATTTTCTGGTGAATTATTATTAAGGTGATTTTCTTTCTATTTGGTCTGTGTCTTCGATTTTTGGACAAGGAAGTTCTAGCAATAATGTTTCCTTGGGACCATGTTTAAGGCGGTCATATTATATTCTTTTATGCTGCCGTGGGCACCATATTTTTGTTATTTCGTGTCTAACTTTAAATATATAAACTAATAACCCTGCAAATGCTGATAACCTTTGAGGGATGTACAGATACAGTTCGTGGCTTGGCTGTGATGTCTGATTTAGGAATCCTATCTGCATCCCATGATGGGTAGGTTCATTCTGCACATGCTACTCTAGATCTAAAATTAATACTGAATGCCTGGTTCTGCATCAGAAAAAATATATATCCTGCTTGACTTGTTTCCATTACCACAGTTCTCTCAGATTATGGGCAGTAAGTGGTGAAGTTTTATTGGAGATGGTTGGCCATACTGCAATTGTTTATTCAGTTGATTCACATGCATCAGGACTTGTTGTCAGTGGTAGCGAAGACCGTTTTGCAAAAATATGGAAAGGTGACGACCTCTTTCTTGCTTCATGCCATAGAGATCACATGTCATTTCATTTGGGAACATGTTTCCAAATGAAGTTTAAGAATTAATCTTGGTCTGTTTTCATGAGCTTAAGAATTAATCTTGGTTTGTTTTCATGAAGTTTATATGGGAGTTTTGTTTGGTTGTGTGTGTGGGTGTTGGGGAGGGGTATGTCTCACCCCATTCTTTATTCTGGGCAACAATTGTAAGAAACTGCTTGATATTATGCTCTCTTTGGTCAAGCTCAGCTGAATTTTCACAACTCATAGCTTAAGGATTAAAACTTTGGGTTATGTTTGCTTATTAAAATGTTCACATCTACTGTTTTTGCAACTTATTTGTATTTTAAATATAAGCTAGTTTGTTTGTTTACTTTATAAGAAAACGTCACAAGTTTTGTTTTGGAGTATCATATGAATAGACCCTTCCATTTTCACTGATCAAATTGTTATGCTATGCATGTGAAGCACTTCGGAGTTTTAATCTGTCCAAAGGCATCTGATTCACACATGGTTGATTGCCTTAGTTTTTTTCTGCCTCATCACGTGGAACTTGTACCTCAGAATTATGAACTTTTTTTTGTCTTAAAACATTTTCCAGATGGAGTCTGTGTTCAGAGCATAGAGCATCCTGGTTGTGTTTGGGATACAAAATTTATGGAAAATGGGGATATTGTGACAGCATGTTCGGATGGAGTAGTACGCATTTGGACCATGAATCAAGATTATTTCGCTGACCAGCTAGAGCTTGACTTATACACTTCACAACTTTCTCAATACAAGTCTAGCAGGTAGGATTTTTGTTGACTATCATAATGCACTTTCTACTCCCATCTCATCAGCTTCTCTTCATATCCGTACACTAGCGGAATAAAGGGCACTAACGTCTCCGTTTGTCCGCTTTTCTATTGCGTTTAGTTGTATATATATTTTTTCGCATCTAATTATATTTTTTTGACATATACCACAATCAAATCAAATAATTTTGGATAATAAGCTCCCTTTTTAGTGCAAGATATTGTTCCTATTGCAATGAGATTTAACTGATTTTTTATATTTATGATTTAAATAATATTATAAGAAGGATAAGATTCTAGGCAATAGTTTAAATGAAGGGTATAACTGTAAGAAAATGTACTACACCAAAACTAAGTATTCCCTTTATTAATATTATTGTGAATTTATTAACCATTGTTTCAATCTGAAAAATATGGTTCATTAGTCCTTGGTGAATAACTGATTTCATTTTCTTGGGAACTTTTTACTTCATGTAAAGTAAATCCTTCTTTAATCTATAGATTTCTTCATACTTGAATAAATTATGTATTGCTATTACTGATGAACTTAGCTTGATCTGTTAATTTATGCCAGAAAGAAGGTTGGTGGATTAAAATTGGAGGAGTTACCTGGCTTGGATGCACTGAAGATCCCAGGTTTGATTTTAACTGTTAATTTTTAAATATAAATTTAGTGATATCTCATCTGATGACATTTTTAATTTATATTTGTGGCAAATACTAAGTGTCGTCAGAGTGTTTTTCCTTTATGTATCATATTGATAATTTCAAACATAGTCCAACAACTCATCTGGTTCTGAACAGGAACTTCTGATGGCCAGACAAAAGTAGTTAGAGAGGGAGATAATGGCGTGGCTTATGCATGGAACATGGCAGAACAGAAATGGGATAAAGTAATTCTCTTATAAATCCCAAATAGAAATTTTTTACTTATATGGTTTCTGTTTACCTTAACCTTTGTAATTCTGTTCCCTTAGTCAATCCCAAGTTTATAAATGATTTTACAGTGTAATTTTGTATTAACATTTTATGTTTTCCTTAAGATTGGTGAAGTTGTTGATGGACCAGAAGGATCAAGTCGCCCTCTCTTCGATGGTGCTCAGTATGATTATGGTTAGTTTCCTTGATAGTTGATCACTTGGCTTACCTTCTTTACACTCCTTCCTTATAAAGTTTACATCTGGCTATTCAGTGTTTGATGTGGATATTGGAGATGGTATGCCTATCAGGAAGTTGCCTTACAATCGATCAGGTACAAATTTTCACCACAGGTTGCAACTTTAACTGAGTTACTAATGTCAGGGTTGACTTTCTTGTGCCACGGCAAGTGATTTTATTGTCTGTTTGTACACTAAAATGCATTGGAAAATGAATTTATATGGATTTTTGGAAGTCACTTAACACATGTTGTATATTGAATTATTTCAATAGTTTCTCACACTAATACTATACAAATTCATTCCAAGAACTTAGAGCAGTGGATGAATTTATTCTTATAGTTATTATAGTAGATATTAATGATCCTGAAAATAAACTACTGGGTCTTGTCAACTAACAACTGGTATGTTGGGCTGTTTTAGTTTCCAGGAGGCAAATTGCATGTGTATGCACGCATACATACTTGCTGGCTCATTATACTAAGAATAAGAGAATTTTGCTCTATCGGCGAATAAATCACAGCGTAGACTGTTGACTATTCAGTACTACAGATAGTAGCAAGAAATTTGTTAGGAAAATGTGTAAAGCTATTCAAATATGATTTTCCTATACCTTTTCTTAAGGCTTAAGAATGATGCATTAGGTTTGAAATACTTTGTACTTGATGTACAAACCCATTTACTCTGATCATCAGTTACTTTCTCGACCAATTTCTGCTGTAGGTTTTCTTCTGACTTGCAATTGTTATTCTTGTTTTTATGCTAAGAATTTGAACCTTGCCCTTGTCTACGCAACCTTTTGATTTTGCTTTCATGGCTTCGTAGTTTGTATGCTCCAAAATCCAAATGATTTGGGCATGTGAATGATAATAATCTGCTAAGTGATAACTATTAAAGAAAATTGTAATAATGTCTCCAGATAATGCATATGATGTTGCTGATAAATGGCTACTCAAGGAGGGTCTTCCTCTTTCCTTTCGTGAACAAGTCGTTCAGTTCATACTTCAAAATAGTGGACAAAAGGATATTACTTTTGATGCTTCATTTCGTGATCCGTACACCGGCTGTAAGTATAGTGTTTTAAAATAATAAATTGATGGCAATCAATGTCCATTTATCCTTGTAATACTCCTTTTTTCTATTTGATTGTTTTTGTCGGGTTTTTTTTTCCATTCAGCCAATGCTTACGTACCAGGTCAACATTCACGCACATCTGGTAATAAAAATTCACCTTATGTTTTCATGCATGAATTCCATCACATTCATGTTGTAATATGTCTTGTGCAACTCAGTCCCAATTAACCTTGTTTATTTTTTAATATCAGATATCTCTGCGAAGCCTACATTCAAGCATATTCCTAAGGTGTGCTTTCATACACTTTGCTATGGAAGTTGCTGATATATTTGTTTTGAAGGAATACATTTTACTGTAGTTACATGTTTTTCAATTTTGATTTACTGTAGTTACATGTTTTTCAATTTTGATTAAGTTTAGTAAAGGCATGAGTTGTTATTTACTTGGGCCAATCCATTAGTCTAACCCATGTCATGTCACAATGTCTCAGTCCTAACATGCTATATTTTATTTGTCCCGACGAAAGCATAAATTTATAATATGAGCATCTGATTGGTATGTTTTTTTTGAAAAGTTTGTAAATTTTGTACTTTGGTGTCATTGTGGTTTATTAATTCTTGCCTATTAGAGGGATAAGTTCAAGGCCAATATGGCTCTAGGTGGAGCTCAATAGCAAAAAATTGATTATGATAGATCTTACTTGGTAAAACCTTTGCTGCAAATTTGTTCTCTTAAAGAAAATTGCTTGATAAAACCCTGTATCAACGTTGCGTTTTTTTTTTGTAGTCTGAAGTTGATTTTACTACTACCTTTGTTATTTTGATAAGATGTTCACATGTCAATATATCATCTTTATATAGTGTTGCTCTGTACAACCATTTGATTCAACTTGTGGAACTGATTAGTGTTTGAAATGGCGTGATTATTTTTTCCGGAGAAAATCCAATGTTCAAACCTCCTTATTGTAGAGCTATATAGTTATTTCTTCTTCACAGTAATAGTTTAATTTGATAGCTCATGCCCAGTTTTTTTTTTCCATTGTCAGAAAGGGATGCTTGTTTTTGATACTGCTCAGTTTGATGGGATCCTTAAAAAGGTCGTCGAGTTCAATAATGCCTTATTATCCGACCAGGTAGGCTACATGATCGAAGATATTTGTTCTTTTTCCTCCTTGTTATTACTGTGTAATACTTACTGTTAAAACACACCTTTTGGTAGGAGAACCTTAAATTTACGATGTTGAACTCACCCACAATGTCAAAGATTGGGGAACTTTTCTAAACTCTGATGTGCATGTTGATCATCCTAACTTCACATACTGCAAACATGTCTTTTGATGCGGGGATCTACATTTAATGATGTCCTTTGATATAAAAATATAAACCCTAGTCAAGTGAACTGTGCGTTTGATATTATTAGTGCCAGGATTTGCTGTGTCTAAGCACAATAAAGTTGCATGTTTTAGAAAGCATGCTTGTGTACCTCGTTATTATTTTTCTTAATTGTTATGACGACGACATGTGAGTTCAATAGTGAATTTTCTGAGCATCTGGTTGTATTGTCAATTTCATATAGGAAAAGCAGAAGTTGTCTTTGGCTGAGTTGGACATTCCCAGACTGGATGCCATTGTTAAAACACTGAAAGATACTTCACATTATCATTCCAGTAAATTTGCAGACTCTGAAATAGCTTTGCTACTGAAAATGCTATCTTCATGGCCAATCACAATGATATTTCCTGGTTAGTTGAAGTTTCTGAATTTTGTTTCTTGTGTTGCGCTGTTATCTCTCTATAAAATCATTGGATCAAATTTATTATTTATTATGCTTGCTTCTTAATCAGTACACTTCTCTGGCCTTTAGGAAAATCATTTTCTTACTTCATGTTGTGCTTTCTATATGCAGTCATTGATATCATAAGGATGTTAGTTCTTCACCCAGAAGGGGCTGTTGCACTTCACAAGCATCTTGAATCAGAAAAAGGTATCAGTATTTCCATCATTTTGTTATGACATTATATTATGGCAATAATATGTTTAACTCCATTTTTACAATGTCAGACACTCCTTTAACTTGGACCTTATCTTTCTTCTTGTGCTTCGTTTGATATCATCATCATCGACAGTGTCTTATGGGATGAAGTGTTGAGCTTAAAAAACCAACACAAGAATAAAATCAATGTAACAAAGATGAGAATGTTGTGCTAGAGGTGTGCCAATATATGGTTGGGAATGGTAGTTTTATTATAGAAAGATGATTGAATCTCGACTTAGGTTATTTGGACATGTGTGGAGGAGACCTATATTATTAAATGTTGCGTGTGCAGTAACTGTTAGTAACCGTCATGTAACTGCTTTGTAACTTCTTTAGGTTGTCAGAATCATAAATACAGGGTGAAAAGGAAAAGGGGGGGAACCATGTATTTTGTATGTTGGTTGGTTTGGGAGAGACTAGGCTCTCTAATACCTAGAAGTTGGTTTATCTTTCAATTGTTGATTATAAACAGTTTGTACTTCGGTATTGGTTCCTATCACCTGACTTAGTGGGATAAGACTTGGCCGCTTGGTTGCTGTTGTATCTTTCTTTCTTCTTTTGCTTTGCTGATGGGGTGGAATGTTACATTGGTTTTCTCCCTTTACATGCAGACATTTTAATGGAAGTGGTTAAGAAGGTCACCATAAACCCAACAATTCCTGCAAATCTGTTGACCAGTGTTCGTGCTGTCACTAATCTCTTTAAGAATTCTTGCTACTACAACTGGTTGCAGAAACATCGCAGTGAGGTCAGTAGCTCATTATTATTTTTATTTATTTTTTACTTGGATTATTTGAAGGAATTGATAAGAATTGTTTGGAAAACCAACATTATGTAGAAATTTTCTTGTGCAACACTTCTGTTTTTAAAAAAAGTGTTTGAACTGATATCTTTGATTAATATAGAGCTTTTCATGGCTCTGGCTTCAAGTATTACTATTTACTAGTGTCTGTGTGCGCGGCGTGTGTATTTCAATGTATACATCGGCTTTTAAAAATGCAGTTTAATTAGATTATTTCGACTCTCATATACATTTTACGCCCATTTTCTTACTAAAAAGACATTTTTGATAAATTATATGAATTGAATTTGTGCATCTATTTTTGGTTAATTCTGGTGGGGGACTTTGGCCGTTTACTTGTGCTGTGTCTGCGTTGCAGATTCTTGATGCTTTCTCAAGCTGCAGTTCATCTACAAACAAAAATTTGCAGTTGTCCTACTCTACATTGATACTCAAGTAAGTCAGTCTTTTTATACAAACACTGAAGTCTTTTATTTATTGCAGGTTGAAGCAAACTTGTTTTGTAAAATAACAGTACTTATTATTGGAATTTTGCAAGAATCTCTTGCATTTATATTTATTTATTATAATTTATTTGTTCAGTGTTTCAAAGTTCTTGTTATTCTTTGTGTGTTAATTCTAAATAAAAGATACGGTCTCCTTAAAGTGCTCCAGGGCTTTCTGATTTTTTATAAACTAAAAAAGGTAAAGAGCTGGTTTGGATAAACTTCTACGCAAGCACTTATGAGAAAAGTAATATTAAAATATATGGTATTGCAATGACTATGGGTTTTATTAAAACATGTGGTTGGGCCTAAGTCAATCCTACAAAACCGGCTTGTAGGGTGAGGATTGCCCCCACTTATAAGCATTTGTTCAGGCCATATATTGTCCGATGTGGGACTCTTATCAGGTTTTTTCTATCAGTAACTAAATTTATATATTGAAATTAGCTTCTGCTTCTCTACTTTTTCAGTTCTTTGATTGAACTTCTCTATATACCTATAAGCTTAAAATACTTTCACAATTGAAGAACCCTGAACTTATTTTAACCGAGAAGCTCTAATAAGCTAGAATCTAATCCAAACTGGGCCTAAATATATTGTTTTCTTGAATGAAAATTGGTAGTTGAGCAAATCTGGGAGCATTTGAATTTTTTCTTTGCTTAGTGTGCCACCCTAACTAACCTTACCACCCTGCTGCATATAGTATACATACTGAAGAGATGGTGTTGCTTTTAGATATTTTTACATATAGATATCAGTTATTGGTTCATAATTTTTGTCATTACAGTGATTTTCTTTCAGAAATGCAATAATACTTGTCCACAACGTCGTAAGGATGCAATAACTGACTTTTAATATGATCCTCAGTTATGCAGTACTATTGATTGAATCTAAGGATCAAGAAGGTCAATCTCAAGTTCTATCAGCAGCACTGGAGGTATGTCTTATACTATTTTTTATCTGGGTATAACCACCACATCACCAAACCTTATCACACTTGGTAAACCAACTCCATCAAGTGTAGTAGGCTGTATCAAAAGGCAATGTTTCAGTTAATAATTTTGAAAAAAATGGCATCTCGTTAAGTTTTATTTTGGTATCGGCACATAATGTGTTATTCCAATAGTGCTCCTCTTGAGATAAAATAAAATCCTTATGCTGTTTGGCACACAGACAAATCGGAAGATAAAATAGAAGCTCTGTTTTTGTTTTCTCATCACTTTTTTATACTTTTTGTCCTGTTCTGCTGTGAGTTAATGTGCACCAATGTAGAACAAAACCCCATATG